TGACATGAAAATCCCCAAACTCCATCATCATGATTCCAGCAGAGCGAGAAGCAACAGACCAGTAGAAAGCATGCATTCTGAACTAGACAGTTTGCCCAACCTGAGCCAGTCCTAGAAACTTTCACTCCCTGCCATTCTGAAAGGGTCTCCATCCCTTGTCAGGAAACTGGTATAAGCCAAGCCTTCTAGTACTGTGAGGAGATCCCAGAACCAGTGCTGAGCAGTAGTATTGGCACTGAGCCAACAGAAAGTAGTGCTTCCTGTGTGTTAAGACTCATTGGTGGCACCCTGTTAAGATGCAAGGCCTGATTCAGAAGATCCAAATGATAGATGCAATTCTCAGTCTTTAATGTTTCAGGTGATGTCTGCCCCATAAACCATGTTTTATTCGTGTCTGTTAGTTTTTATTTCTTTCACCATGACTGATAAAACTGTTATTGACAGGGTTTCATGCATGTAACGTTCCAATACTACACCCTCCACCAGTGTCCTCTTCCTTCCACCATTGTCTCAGGGGATCCCTCTAAAAGCCCCCACCTCTGCCGTATCTCCCTGCTATGGCAAGCTCAATTCTGTAGACCAGTTCTCATATTCCATTTGATATTTCCTTGCTATGCTTTTTCATATCCCACATGAGATGTCATTCTCTGTCTCCTTTAACTTCACTCAGCACGATACTCTACAGACCCACCCTTTAATGGCAAATTGCATTTCATCTTTTCTTATAGCCATTTTATATATATATATATATATAATTTCTTTATTCAGACACATTATTGGGTACTTGGGTTGTGTCAAGATTTTGGCTCTCATTTGAAAAATGCTGCACTGAATATAGGAGCACAAATTTCTCTTCTGAATAGCATTTTTGGGGACTTGGTATAGATGGCTAGAAGTGAGATTGCTCGGTCATATGGAATCTCAATTCTTTGTTTTGTGAGAAGATTCCATGTTGTTTCCAAAAGGGTCGAATCAGGCACCATTTTCACCATGGATGACGGTTTCTCTTTCCTCTTATGCATGCCAACATTGGTTGTTCTTTAATAATTTGTTCTTGTTCTTTTGCCACCCCTAGTAGTGCTCAGGACTGACTCCTGGTTTGGGACTCAGTGTTCATTTCTGGCGGGGCTGACGGAATAGGTTGGGCAGAGAAAACATAGGTATCAAACTTGATCTTCCTCAAGCAAGTGCCCTACCCATTGCACTACTTCTCTGGTCCATTTTATATTTTCCTTCCTAATTTGTGCCAGTCTCACTGGCATGAGATATCTCATTATCAATTTGGTTTGGGGGGAAACACCCGACATGCTCAGGGCCTATGACTCCTGACTCTGTGCTCAGGGATCACTCCTGGTAGTGCTTGGGGGCCCACTTGGGGTGCTAGGGATCAAAATCAGGTCAGCTGCATGCAAGGAAAATGCCATACCCATTGTACTATTGCTCTGGATCCTCTTATTTTTTATTTCTTTGATAGTAAGTGATTCAGAATTTTTTTATGCTTTCTTGTCATCTGTGTATCTGCTTTGAGAAAGTTTATGCTCATCTCTTCTCCCCATTTTTTGACAAACTTGATTTTTTTGTCAAAATTGATATTTTACAAGTACTTTTTATATCTTGTATATTAACCCTCTGTCACATGAATGGTTGACAAATATATTCTCCCAGTCTGTGGGGTGTTCTTTAATTCTGGTCATTGTCTCTTTTGTTGTGTAGACATTTCTTTACATGATGTAGTGTCATTTACTTATCTTTGCTTCCATATCCTTGTTAGTACCAAAACATTGAAGATTCCTCTAGATTTAATGTCATGGAGGGTTCTGCTTACCTTTTCATCACTATAATTTCTGGATTCAGGTCTAGTATCAAGATATCTAATACATTCTGAAATGACTTCTGTTCATGGTGTGAGATAGGGATCTGAATTCTTCTTCTTTTTTTTTAAACATGTAGTTGACCAGTTTTCCAAACACCATTTGTGAAGAGACTTTCCTTGTTCTTCACAGTAAAAATTAGCGGACAGACACCGAACTAATAGTACAACGGGCAGGGCACTGCCTTCCATATGGCTGACCCTGGATTTTATCTACGCATTCTATATGAAGGTTTCCTGAGCATCGCTAGGTTTCTTGAATGCAGTGCCAGTAATAACTCATGAGCATTTTGCTGGGTTGATGGGTGTGGCCAAAACAATACAAAAAATAATAAAAAAATTATCTGACCATATTCCTAAGGATGTCTTTGAACTCTCAATTATATTCTGAGAGTCTGTTCTTATTCCAATAGCACATTGTCGTGATAACTAAAAATTTTATAATATAAAGTTGGGGGGGGTGAGAAAGCCTCCCCTCTTTTCTTCGAGGATTTCTTTGGTTATTTGCAGGAGAGGGTTATTATGCTATATGAATTTCAGGAGAATTTGATCTTTGTCTTTATAAAACTTACATGGGGCCATATAGCACAATGGGAAGGGCACTTGCCTTGAGTGTGGAGGACCTGGGTTGTCCCTTGAGCATCACCAGTGGTGATCCTTGAGTATACAGCCAGGAGTAAGCTCTGAGCATCATTGGGTATGCCCTGCTCCAAATGACAGCGGCATTTTTACAGGAACTGTATTGAATATATCTAGTGCTTTGGGTAGGATTGTCATTTTTGACAAAATTAATCCTTCCAACATAATAATAGATGTTTCTATTTTGCGTATTATAGTGGTGATTTACAGTTTTCTTTTTTTTTATGACTGATGTTTACTCATTTATTCACATATATAAGAAGAGATTCTACATAAACTTGCATTCCCAAAATAAATTATTATGGTTTTAGGTTATTGCCCACTGGGTAGTAATTTCTCCTATTTCGTCTTCTTCCTCTTTTTTTTTTTTTATTGGTAAAACACCATGAGGTACAGTCGTAGATCCACAAATTTTTGTGCTTGGGTCTCGACTATACAATGATCAAACACCCATCCCTCCACCAGTGCCCATTTCTACCACCACCATGGATAATATCTCTCCCACCCCCAACCCCCCTATCCCACCCAGCCTCTGTGGCAGGGCATTCCCTTTTGTTCTCTCTCTCCTTTTGGGTGTTGTGGTTTGCAAAAAGAGGCATTGAGTGGCAAACATGTTCAGTCCATAGTCTACTTTCAACATGCATCTCCCCTCCTGGAAGGATCCTCCAAACACCCTTTATTTGGTGCTCCCTTCTCTATCTGAGCTGTCCTTTCCCATAGAACACCCGGCTGGCCTCTAAGCTATGGAGTAATCCTCCTGGTGCTGATCTACAGTTTTCTTTATATAGATCCTCACTGCTTCTATTAAGCTGATTCTCAAATACTTGCTTTCTTTGAGGTACAACTGAAAACTTTTCTCTATTTCATTGTGTATAGGAATGCTGTGTTTATTTATTTTTGCTTTTTGTGTCACCCCTAGTGAGGATCAGAGGTTATTCCTGGCTCTGCACTCAGGAATTATCCCTGGTAGTGTCATATGGGATGCTGGGGATCAAATCTGGGTTGGCCACATGCAAGGCAAACACCTCTCTGCTGTAGTATCACTCTGGTCCCTCTGTGCATTTATTTTGTAGCCTGCCACATTACTATACAAGTATATTGTTTCTAGGTTTGTTTGTTGTTGTTATTAGTTTTAAGGTTTTCTAAATATAATATCATGGCATCTGCAAATAATGATAGTATGATTTCTTCTTTTCCAAACTGGGTGCTCTTAAAATATCTCTTTCTTTCCTAATTGCTATGTCAAGGACTTTCAGTACTATACTGAATAGCAGTGGTGAGAATAGGTGACCTTGTCTTGTGCATGAACTGAGAGGGCAGGCTTTTAGTTTTTCATTATTACATATGATGTCAGCTGTGAGTTAATGGTACAAGGTTTCAACTATATTGTGAGTTCCTTCTAGCCCCATTTAAACTTTTTTTTTTTAAATCACAAGTGGGTGTTGTGTTGATATGGTATATTACTCAGCCTCCAAGAACAGGTTTCTTAGACTTAAATCTGGTACTTTGTTTTGTTTTTGTTGGTGCCATGAATAGAACCCAGGGCTTTACACACGCAAAACATACCTCTGTAATTGAGCTACATCCCTGGTATGCTGGCACACCTTGGGAGGTCATAGCATTGCACATTCTGTAACTTTGACTGGCTTTACTTTGGAAGCAAGATAAGTGTGACATTTTCTCTTGCTTCAGAATCAGATGCAAAAAATACTCAAATGCACCTTTCCTGCCACTAAAATCAGTTCTCCATTATGTGGGTCCACAGAGGCCTCTGCCAGTAACAACAGTTCACCTATAAGTGCCACATGCTGCCCCCAGAGCACCCATCCTCTGATCAGCTTAGTCTCTCTCTCTCAATCTCTCTGGATTGGGGCGTGGTTTTGGCAGCACTGACTGGTAGTCAGGTCTTAACTTTTGGCTGTGTTCAAGAATCACTCCTGGCAATACTCAGGAGACCATATGGGATACCAGGGTAAAACATGGGCTGGTGCGTGTAAGACAAGTACCACAACCACTGTACTAACCCTCCAGCCCTAAAGTCTTCACGTTCAAGAGTGTGTCTCCTGGATAGGGTAAATCTTATCCAAAGATAGGGTCACTCCCCAAATGAAGAAACTGATTAAGTCTAGTAAGGGATGAAGGGTTCCACAGATCCTATTCACAACTAGTGACAGAACCAGGAATATTTCAAAGTCACGAAAGTCATGTATTTGTAGATATCCCAAGTTCATTTTCATTTAGTTTTATCACATCCAACTTATCTGTTCACACTGGAGATCTGTCTGTATCATATATTGAAAGCAATTTACTGCCACCCCTCACTTCAACTATTTCCAACACCAAGAAAAGCTTCTCCTTTTCTATATTTCATCCCAGTTCCTGATTCAAAATCATGCAACAGGTTGTCAACATGCTAGTTCACGAAGATGAAGTTTACCTTCTCTCTTTCATCTGAAAGAGGTGGCAATAAGTAATCATCAAGAGAAGCAAGAATTCTGTAGCATTCAAAATGTAGGTGGCACTGAAAATTAACCACAAATGACTAAATTGTAGAGGAAACAATCCCACGAAAATAACTAAGGAAGAACTTTTTTCATAATTGCATTAGGGAAATAAAGACTAATTTTTTCTTAGTATTTAGATTCAACACTTTGAGGTTATGAAAACTGGTGAGTCTGAATTCAGGTCTAAATAATATACAACACTTGGCATTTTATCTTCATTTTTCCTCTATGAAGTATTCATAAAGTGTTTTTAATAAATATATTAAGGCTTAAAGTGATCATTATCTTGAGTAGAAAAAGGTTTGCTACCTAAGTAATTACATTCAGAAATTTTAGAAACAGAATTGTTTATAGTTTTTGCCTCTGCACAATGAATGATAAGACATTGCCCTGTTTTTTCTCCCCATGACATGACACCACATCTAATGGACAAAGAATGATTTATAGAATTTTTTACAGGTTGAGACTGCAGTTTTATGGTGTGACCTTTACTTTCTCAGTAAAAAGCTTTCAGAAGGTCATATGGACAATCAGTAATGCAAATTACAAATAAATAAAAATCTTAACCAAGGTGCTTATAAAGCTCAAGAAAAAGCAAGTTATGTTCGAGAAAAGGCAACAGTGAAATGCTAGTTTGAATACAGTGTAAACTTGAGGCAAACATCATTTGCCATCAGAAGGAGGAAACTAGTTGACTTCATCTAGCACGAAATTCTCAAGTCTTCTTCAGGGACCCTTTTGTTAAACTCTCATCTTTAGCAGGACTGTCAGAACACTGCTGGAGAGTATCAAGGCCATTGCTGAATACCACTGGATCACCTAAGCTGAAACCCCAGCCATGAGAGAGATTACTACCAAAAGTCCATGGAACACTCCCTGCCTACAAGTTAAACCAGCTGCACTGGGCTCACAAACCTGAGGATAGCCCACATGGAGAGTAAACACAATTCTTGCAAGAGAAGCAAACGCCAATATGGTGTCCAGTTGTTAGGATCCTAAGACTCTAGATGGAGTCCAGAGTCCAGTCACTGCTGGAGAGGAAGGAGACAGGCAGTGGCATGTCCCTAGGAGTGCGTTGCTCCTTCCCATCATGGAGCACATTTTGCTCTTGGAAATATTCTTCCTCCTCATCAAAGAAGCCATTCTCGAGAACATAGGAGCAGTCTTGGCTGGATCTTGCCTGGCATGCCCCTTTATATTCTTGAATGGATTCGTAGAGGCTATACAGTTGGCAGAGCAAGGACATGTCCAGCTGTCGAAGGCCAACCTGGAGGGATGAAGGGGGAGGTAAAAAGAAAAAAAATCAGCACTTAAGTTTCATTTTAGTTGACCATTCAGTCAGCAATTTGCTGTACCAGCACATTCTTTCCATACAGAGAGAAACTCCTCATCACTTGGAGGCTTAGGATTTCCAGTTTAGAGAAGACCTTCATTGTGTAATATATTGCTCAGCTTGTCAGGAAAGGCTCAACCTGCAAGGGAGCGGGCCCCAGCCTGTGGAATTTAGCCTGGTATGCTGGCACACCCTGGGAGGTCATAGCATCACACATTCTGTAACTCTGGCTGGCTTCACTTTGGATGCCAAACTGTAAGTGTGGCATTTCCTCTTGCTCCAGAATCAAATGCAGAGAAAGCCCATGTGTGCTTACACTGCCACTACAATCATCTTCAACTACTTGGGTCTACATGGACAGGGTAAGTCCAAGAAAAATGGTGGGTTACTTCCCAGACCAAGAAACAGAATAGGTTTAGTAAGATGTGAGAATAAAGGAATTCTGCAAATTCTCCTGGGATCTTTATTCATATGTAGTCACAAAACCAGGAACATTTCAATCAAAAAGTTTTGTATCTATGTATTTTCCTCCCTTCCAGAGGAGTAAAGCCCATTACAGAGGAAAAGCACAACCAAGAAAGGAAATGCATCATTTCCATCAATTGCCAAGAGAGAAGAATTAGTTCACTTGAAAATGCAGTCTAGGCCTGCATCTTACATTTTCACTGAGATTCACTTGGAGAGTCTAGTTTACCATACAAGATCATGGGAGAAACTAAATAAGATGCCAGGAAATCTGCCTTTGGTCTCTTGGCCTTTGAACAAATTATTCATCATCGTTTTGTCTGATGACAGAATGAAATAATAATTTCTATTATGGAACTACTGGGAGGAGTAACTAAAATAATTTTCAATAAATAGTAATTGAATGTCTCCTATATTGGGTTAAAGCACTGAAGATACAAGGCAATGTGTACACAGATAAAGGAAATGTGTTATAGATTTTACAATCATTGTAATTACCCAGCACTGTGATTTTCCATGTAAGAGAGCCAAACGTTCACAGGAAAATAGCAGGTGACTGAGAGAAACTTTCATCTTGTGACAAGACTGTTCAATTTCAGGCTATTCTTTCCACGTAGCGATCCTATGTTGGCAGAACACCCACTATCTCTTGACTATAGCATGACAGACCATAAAAACAAAATTAAGTTTAACATCTACTTTGCATATTTTCCTAAGAAGTTCAAGGGATGACCTCCACACAGAGAGGCAAGTTTAATTGCTTCTGTGGCATTTCCCCATAATTCTAGAATTCTGACTCCCTATAAGCTTAAGCCAAGCTGTTCTAGGTAGAGGAGACAGCTCTGAGGTTCAGGAATGCATGACTTTGATACACAAGGACCCAAGTTCAATCTGTGGAACCATGTGGTCCCCCTTAGTACCCCTGGCCAGGTGTACCCCTATAAGCTCCCAGAACCACTGGGTCTGAGAACATTACTGAGTCCAAGCACTGAGATATCTGTGCGTTCCCAAGATAGACTCCCAGACACCCTGAACACTGCTTGAGGGTACAACCCCCACCCCGCGCCCAAATTTTAAAACCCAAAAACTGAAAAAAAAATTTCTGAGAAAAAGACTTCTCTGAAATTGTTGATGTCCCAGCCCACAACAAAAAATTGACTGAATAGGTATAACTCAAACACTTTGTGACAATGTGTAAATAATTATCTCTTTGTTTCAGAGAATGACATGCACCTGAAAGAGATATTCTAAGAAAATTGACAGAGCTTGACTTCTTGCTCTCAAAAGTAGATCCGGAATAGGTTAAGTTGTGGCAAAACTAGGAGATGCCAGGTGTGACTAAGGCCATGTCAACCACTGTTTTCTTTGTGTGTGTGTGTGTGTATGTGTGTGTATGCGTGCGTGCACTTCCACACATGTGCATCTGTGCTTGTGTACACAGGTAACACATGTGCATCTGTACTTGTGTACACAGGCACATGCCAGTAAGTGTGCATGTCAGAGGAAGAGCAGATCTCTAATGTGTTTTTAAAAGTACCTGATGGGGGGTTGGAGAGCTTGTATAGCATGTTAGGGTGCTTGCCTTGCATCCAGCCGACCTGGGTTTGATCCCTGGCACCCCATATAGTCCCCCAAGCCCCACCTGAGCACAGAAGCAGGCATAATGAGCACTGCCATGTGTGGCCTGAAACAAACAAAAAAATTACAATAAAATAAATTTACCCTGATGGTAAATCTGATCCAATTTCAGTTTCTTTCTGGGCCATTTATATTTATTTTCAGACCAGCCAGGCAGAACAATGGGGAAAAGAATCCAGGCTCTGGAGTCTACCCACCTGGGTTCAGATGTTAAAACTCTACTGCTCAATAGATAAGGCTGTGGACACATAAATTACTCAAATCCTAAGAGAGGGGGAGCTGCTACTAATATTGTGCTCACAATTCTTCCCCACTCTGCTAACCAGCAGAATCTGATCCTGGAACGGCTCTTATGATGCCAAGTTACTGCCTCCAATTCAATCTGAATACTGAGCTAGAAGCACCATAACATCTTTCCCAAAAGGACAATCTTTGAAAACCCTCATTTATTTTCAATCAAATGGAATTATTCTTTATACAAAGTCAAAAATCTCCCAGCCTGCAGGTTCCACAGAGCTCTTGTTGCTAGGTATAACTGGTGCATATACAAACCAATCTTACTTATCTTCCTTAACAAGCATTTACATATATGACAATAACTTTCATGTGAAGACCATTTTCCTGCTCCTTGAAAAAAAACTGGGCTGGAGAGACAACTCAGTAGTCCGAAACTGATGCTTTGTATGCATGAAAGTTTGATCCTGGCACCATATGGTCCCACAGCATCACTGGGAGCAACCCCTGAGTACTGCTAGATGTATCCCCCCCAAAAAAATATAAAAAATAATCTGCTTTTGCTGAAAGTAGACTATAGACCAAACATGATTGTCACCCATTGCCTCTTTTGCAAACCACAACACCCAATAAGAGAGAGAGAACAAAAGGGAATGCCCTGCCACAGAGGTAGGGTGGGATTGGGGGGGATGGGGGGGTGGGAGGGATACTGGGATCCGTGGTGGTGGGAAATGGGCACTGGTGGAGGGATGGGTATTTGATCATTGTATAATTGAAACCCAAGCACAAAAATTTGTAAGTCTACAACTGTACCTCATGATGTCTCACTAATAAAAATTTTTAAAAAAATCTGCTTTCTCCAAACTAACACACAAGTTCTTTACCTATTTGTGATGTTGTCCTACTCCTTCCTCTGTACTTATTCTGATTTGCACAATTCCTTTAAAAAATCTGAACAAAACTCTGACTCAGCAAAATCATATTCATCCTTTCTTTTTTGAATTCAAAAAAATTATTTTTAATTGAATCATCATGAAATACAACGTTCCAACATCCATCCCTTCACCAATGTATATTTCTTGCCACCAATGTCCCCAGTTTCCCTACCATCACCCCACCCAGCCTGCCTCTTCTCTCTCTCTCTCTCTCTCTCTCTCTCTCTCTCTCTCTCTCTTCCCCTCCCCTTTTTCACCTTTTAGGTTTCTTTCTTGGAATTTAATGCAAAGAATATAAGCCTTAATAAAGGAAGTCACACCCCTAGAAGAATCATGCCAAGATTTACTCAATAAGTCATTACAAAGATTCATCTAGAATTTTGTATTGAGTCACTCTGATACCTTTGGGGTGGAGACGCTTCTTCCCAACAGGGAGTTAAGTAATGACAAAGGTAGCAGGGAATTTCACACTACTATAAAACATCTGGCTTTCACTTTCTGAGTCAGCAGAAGGTAGAAACAGGTGAAAGTGTAGCCTGGATTGCCCGACTCAACCCACAACCCCGCCAGATTTTAGAGGCTCTTGACTTTGCTAGTCCTGTGCTGCCCAAAGACCCAGACCCATAGCTTTCTCAATATGTGCCATGCCCAAGGCCTTCCAGGCCAACCTAGTATATGTTCCTGGCTAGGACCTTCCTGCACTGCAGCTGCCAAATGACTCACAAAGCCACCCAGTCATAAGGCGGGGGAACCCTGGCCTAGAAATGAAGCTCTGACCTGCCTAGGAATACAGGGCAGACCAAAACACTTGATTACACAATCAAACAGATGCTAAGTTGCCAGACTCATTTCGCAGCAATTTAACACATGCACATGCACAAACACACACATTCCTCAAAGTGTTCCTACATCTAGACTTTCTTCAGGCACTGAAATTCTTCTGACTTGCCTTCAAATTAGCTAGGACCAAATAGCCACATGAACAAGCAGTTTTCCAGCCAGAACACCTCACCTTAACATGTGGCTATATAAACACCTTCATTTAAACTTTCTACTAACAAAGTGAAATGCCTAGGCAGCATCCTGTAATCTGGTCTGAATCTCTTCTCCCCTACCTTTACCTCAGGCAACATTACGGGTGAGGCCCCTTCACTCAAACTGTCCAATACCTGTTTCCACTAATCTGTCAAAGCTGCTCCATACCCCCACCCCCAACCCCTACATGCAGCCTAAGACAAGCTTCTCCTCTGCTCCTTACTTTTTCTAATTGGTTCACCTGACACGGCTCCTTGCTTTTTCCCATCTTCTCTATCTTATGGTAATTGTTATTACCTACCCTACACTACAGATATTAAAGCTTTCTGTCTCCTCTTGTGAGACAAGCCCACAATGCCATGATTTGGGGGCACTATAGTGCCTTACCTTTTGGATCCCTCAACACCCAGCAGTCTTGCAGAAGGAAAGGCTCAGATCATGGTTGAAGTCAGAGAAAATATCTTTCTCTAGAGACGGAACCCAGAGAGCTGCTACATGAATGGATCTGGAGAGTATCACGCTGAATGAAGTTTGTAAGAAGGAGAGGGAAAGACACAGAATGATCTCTCTTATAGGTAGAATATAAAAAAACATAGTAAGCCAGCTCTCATTTTTTTCAGAAGGAGC